CCAGAGGCTGCACACGGAGTTCAGCGTGAACCCGTTCCACCCCGGTACGGCCCCACGGCACGGGCAACGCGCGGGAAGCGCCGAGCCGCAGCAAACACACGTAACCCAGGCAACGGCTGAGGCTCTGGAACCCACGGATCCTGAGCGAACTCCGCAGAGCTAAGATGGGACAGAGAGCCCCGACACTACACCCCGTTTCCTCTGCCCCCGGGGGGATTTCTACCTGCCACAGTCATAAAACATCTAATCTGTGCTGGCCGGGGTGGGTGATGTGAATAGATTCACTCAGGTCTAGCTTTTACAATAAACCAAAAACAAATCAAAGGCAAATAATTGCCTGAAAGTTGGCACTCTGCATGCCACTGCCTGGGTAGGGTAGAACTCCGATGTGGTGAGTGCAGGCACCACCGAGTAGAAAGGGTTTTAGCACACTTAACACCCTTCCTCTTCTAGGAAGTTGCTATTAGACCACACTCTAATATTAAAACCCTTTTTTACTCTCTACACGTGGTGTTGTCCTTTGCAACTTTGGTGAAACAGCTGGGCCTGACTGGGGACTAACCAAAAAGACCATGTGCAGTGGCAGATCCCCCTGGCTGGCTGTGGTGCTCAACTCACATTAACACGATTCACCTGTGCTCTTTCCTCCCAGTGCACACCATCGCCAGGAAGCCGATGTCTTGGCATGATAATGTAGAAGAGCCAGCAGATGGTAAGAAATCTCTGAACAGCTTGTGATAATTACATAAGAAAATGACTAATAAAGAAGGCTTTAAAATTCCAATTAGTCTAAAAGATGACATATGTGGAAACACCCCTGTGACAATACAAGAAAGTTAAACTCATTCATTATTTTTGTTAAACATAAGGCAGGGTTTTTTCTACTTTAAGGCCCTTTCCCATTACTTTTCATTATCAGTGCAAGCTTGCATTCATGCAATTAAGTTTTTATTTCTGTTCTTAGTTACCATACTATGAAATTCTGCTCAAAAATCTAAACCTCTTTCAGCGGAAAATACAAAAAAAAATAATCTAGAAATATGTTTTATACGTTGCCTGTCATTGCTGATGCTACCTAACAGCACATAGGGCAAGAAATGGTTGCCAAGACTTGTTTTATAGCACCGGTAACAGGAACCCTTATAGCCACCACTCCTTTATTACTAACATGCCAGTTTTGTTTAAAAACGTCTCATGGTCCATTAAAGTTCTCTGCTCTAGCCAAGAACTGGGGAGGGGGAACCCAAAACAAAACAGGGAAAGGCAGCAGGTCTCAGGCAGCTCAGAAAGGCAAGAGCTAACGTGGAGCACTGTTGATACTAGATGTGGTATAAGAAAAGACACTGCAGTACAGTACCCAGGAATTATAGAATTAGCAGGGCAGTACAAGCAGGCAAATCTTGAAACTTCATCAGGACAAATCTAAGAAGAAATATCACTCTGCATTCTCTTAACACAGCCACTTGCAGAAGCAGCACAGAGGTTGCCTCCAATCCTGGCTTCCTTGCCATTGCTTCGACAGAGTTAGGATGTCCTATTTTAACATGCATCCACAGGTGACTGCTTTTTAAACATACTTCCTTTCATTTGTATTTGTGTCTCTTAAACCTACAGCCGAGTTTCTGAATCTTATTCACCATGCAGCACTGGAGCCAACAAAGAAATATTCAGAACCACAAACTGAAAGCCAAGAAATAGGCTGGAACACAACACCTTTGGTGAGTAGGGTGCTTAAGGTCTCAGCTCTTTACAGGATTCAGAGAGGTTCAGCTCATCACAGTGAAAGATAATAATGCAAGTAAATTTGTGGCAAACATGGAAAACTGGAATTACTAGGAATGAGAAGAGCTGTTCACAGACAAGTTTATAAAATTTACACCTAAGAGAACTCTTCACACTGGCATAGGCTTGTGAACACAGAGACAGTACACTTCCCCAGAGAAACTTGTACATAAAATATGCACAATGACAGTCAACTCCAAGCATATTGCCAAATGCCACATATGGAGTTAGGGCTGTTTACTGAGGCGCTCAGCCACGAGAAATGGCACAGTAAGCCATGCGAAGTGACGTACGTTAAGTACTGGGAAAAGAAATGTGTTGCTCTACAGTACCTTTCAAACAAATGGCAAGCAGAACCATAACATTAATAATCTAATAAGTATACCCAAGGTAGTGTACACTGGTGAGGATTCATCTGGGGACATGTGAATAAACAGGAGGAAAAGACATCTTATTAACAAGCTGGGTCATCAATCATGTCTGACAAACAAATACCTGTGATGATGACTGACTTTTTAGGTTAGTTTTCAGAAAGGCAAATGAAGGCCTGATTTACTATGGTCTGTTACAAAGAAAACTAAGATAAATAAGAAAATAAGATAGTCTTCTGTAACTTTTCATATTACACTTGAGGTAAACTAGTTACTCATGACAAGGCTAGAGACAGACATCCCAACAGGGCTTTATGCTGTTCGATACTGCTGGTAGGATTAGACTAGCAAGAAAGAGGCAACTAAATTTGCATGTAGGGAAGTGAGTTAAACTATAGAGTCAGGACTCAAGATGCTGTTTCGTATGTTGTTTTCCTTTTTCACCAGGTTCTGACATAATGAGGCAGCAAACAGCTTAGTCTAAAATAAGTGGTACCCTACTCGTTTATCACTGGGACATTTCTCAGCAGCAAGAACACTGTGTGTCACTCTCCTCAGGAGGGACTGCTGCTAATTCTAGAAAAGCACATGACTATTCATCATTTCTCTTTCCCAGATTCCCCTGGACCGGACCGACTGCAGGCTCTACTTCCCACGCCGGAAAACTGATATCACTAAATAAATGGCTGCCGGGGGCCATGGGGAGGAGCACTCTAAGGACCTGCAGCAGAGGAGCACGCATAGATAAGAGAGAACCTCAGTCTGTCCAGATTCGCAGTCTGACAATAATTACAGAAATAAATTTATTTATAAGATTGCTGCATTTGTCTCACTGCTGTTTCAAAACCCGTCTATATAAATAGTCTTAAAAAACTTTAACATCTTGACAGACTCCAGACTTCTTATTTTGACATTGGCAACATGACCCAGAACTCAAGTTCACCAAGTACACGTCAACAACAGCTATGGAAAAAGCTGTCAGAATGAAAAGAACAAAGGGCAGGCTTCAGCCATCATTTCTAACACAGCTAAACAAAAATTTGACATAGTTCTGTGCAAACCATTTAATGCGTTCCCACACCAAAGGTTTTAAGTAGAAAACAATCCTTCAACAAAAACAGGCACTAAGGCACAAGTTTCCACTGACTTTTTGCCTTGCCACTTGGAAGCACCCAGCCTTGCTCCACAGTTAGCTGCTTGATGACAGCAGAAACACACCTTGCCACGCACAGAAACTTAAGAACCCCAGTGGGGAGCACAGTCCTCTTATCGTGCTCGGCTCTTCATTTTCTGCCTTGCTCTCTTTCCAGGTCTCTTCTGGAAAAAAAAAAAAAAAATCTGATCTTTATTTTCATGTCCTCAGTCTTTGTCCCAGCTCTAATGCCTGGGAAGGATACCAAGGAGAGGACATCTGTCAGTATCTCTGGAGAGGGAGGTATTACCACACAGGTAGCAACAAACAGTACTTGGTAGTTGTTTCTCTGCTCAGTTACTGAGCCACCGACCTCAGTGTCTGCAACTGAATGATGCTCAGCTCCCAAAGACAGGCATTGTCACTTTTTGATGCTGGAGGCACCCAACATGTACTCATCTCTCCCTCCCAGACTTGGGCCGGCCTTCCCAGCTAACCAGGATCATTTGCATGCAACATCTTACTTACATTTAGGGCTTTTTTTCCTCCTCTTCGTGGGCCCTTGTTGTGAGCCACCTTTGACCGGAAGCTGGATACATCATCAAAACTCTCCTTTGTGTTCCACTTTGAGCCTTTCTTCTTCCCACCAAAACCAAACTTCTGATTCTTGTATCGCCTTTTGGCATTTGGCCTGAAAAACCACCGAACAGCATCGTCACCCAGATTCCTTTCCTCAGGAAGCTCTCAAGGAGGCACATGCACTTGCTGATGGACTCCCATCAGCCATCAGAAACCTTTGCCCTCTTATTGAGGAGACAAGCAGTTAGCACATTTCAATCTGTTCCATTCTGGCCAGTTTTCCTCCTCTCCACAGACAGAAAGCCACCTCAGACTTTTTTAACCAACATTAATCAGAACTGTTTTCTTGTTCCACAAAATAACCCCCTAAAAGACTGAAAAAAAAAAAAAAAAAAAGAAAAAAAGATTCTGCATTTAAATATCTTTCTTTTCTGGTCTCACCCTTTCTTTATCCGTTGACTTGCATTGCCTTTTTTATTCCCCTGAGACAACGTCTGCTCTTCATCTAGAAAATCCAGCTTGTCAGAGAGACCTGCAAAAGCAGAGACATAACAGTCGCTCAGCTGCCACCACAGAAAATATGAGTTTTCAGCCTAAGCAAGTAACAGCAATAAGTCACCCTCACTGAAGCACAGCCCCCTGGGAGGACTCCCACTGCTACTGGCATACGATTCTGCCCAGCAGCAGCCTTTCAAGCTCAGTGTCCCACACTACAGAAAAACACACACATCGCACTGCACTGCACTGCTCGCACATCACTACTGCCACGACATTCGCTCTCTTGGACAAGTTAACTTTACCTTTCTGGTATTTCTTGACAGCATTCAACATATTTTTTTTCTCCTTTTGTCTCCTCTGCAAAATCTCAGTTTGCACCTGAGATGAGAAGCAGAATGTTAGTGTTGTCTCTCGCAGTGTCCCATACTTTTTTTAAGTAACCCATCTTTTGCTCTGTCTTCATTCAAAGCAGCTATATGGAAGACTAGACAGATTCCATAGGTTTTAGCCAGCTTCTGTGGTCTCACTTTCTGAGCTCCTTGCTAAGGCTCTAGATTCCTGTCATAGACAGGCCCCTTTTATAGCTCCTCCTCACCTTCTTGCCATATTTTCTCATTGCACGGAGCTGTTTCGCTTTCTCAGACCTCTCCATTGCTTCCTGTTTACTCTTAAGCTTCTGTCGAATCTTATTAGGGGATAAAACAAACAAAATGGATTAGTAACACAAAAGAAAATATGAGTTTTATGATTGCTGTGTAGTCCTGAAATCAATAATTATGTGAAATATCAGTAAATGTAAAGATTAAAACATTTCTCAATCAGACAATGCTTTATAAGGCTTGAGTTCGTTTAACTCAAGGCTGAAACAGTTATTACAGAAACACACCTGTGGACAGTATCTGGTTATTAAAAACCTCACACACAGACAAGACAAAGGCTTCTAACAGGCCCTGATGGAACCACTAAGCAAGAGTGTATTGTCACATCTTATCTTATCAGTCTACACAAGTGTACCTAGAAGACCTGATAGTTTCTTTCTTTGTATTATTAGAAGTAAAGCACTGTAGAAGAGTGAACAACTCTTCCATGCCATAGGAAACATCTTTTTTGTTTCCTCCTTGTTCACACACATTTCTGTAAGGACGTCACATTACAAGGGATGAGAAAGATTTCAATGTAGACATTCTGGATTCAGTCTGTGACTCCACTAGGTGATAAAAACTCTGTCCTTCAAACAGAAGCCAGCAAAAGAAGGTAACTCAAATGTGCAGAACTGACTTAAGACTCAGGACAAGCTAATTATTAATTTTCATCTTTTCTAGCAAGATTCTATCAGCTGTTAGAAGAGTGACCAAGTCATACATGAACCTCCAAAATAGACTCCAGCTCCTGTTCAACCTACACAATGTGGTTTTTATTTATAAACTAAAATGAAACTTAGGGTGGCCTTTGTTCAAAAAGGAACAAACAAGTCTGTGAAATTCTAATTTCCTGCACAAATATGAATTAGTACCCATGACAGACTAATTCAACAACATACAGCTTTATTTCATACACAACCAAAACACACTAGGTATAAACAAAGGGTGATACTTAAATAGGGAAAAAGGATCACATTAATGCCACAGCTGACTGCAAGTCTTGGGTCAAAGAGCATAAACACAGTCAACTTTACAACCACTGTCACACATACAGAGAAAAAAAGTTTCCATTTTTATTATTAAATAACTTCAGGACAGAACATGAATGTCCTTTCCTAATTAATGTTCCACCCTATTCTGTAAATCCCCGCACTGCATTGAAATACCTAAACAGGAGGGAATTTCCCACCACAAACAAAATTTCAAACCCAAACACTGTCACAGGCATTTGTCAAAGAGATGAAGGTAAGTATTCACACATCTCACTTCAACGTTAATCCCTAACAGACTAAAACCAACACACACCACAGGAAAGAAAGCAGTTATCCACTGCACATACCTTCTGCATCTGTTGGTCTGATTTGGCCATCTCTGCAAAGTAATCATCCGGCCTTCTAGTAGGAATTTGGAGCTTATGTAGCCTCGGGAGGGCTTCCAGGACCGCCGCCTGCGCCTGCCGGTAGCTGGGGAGAGAGCACAGCACCAGCTCTGTCCCTGCCTGCCCGGCGCCCCGCAGCACAGACAGCAACTCTGCTCACATAAGCCAGCTCACTCTGGGAGCCGACCAGCACTGGTCTAGAATTACACCAACATGCTGTGCCCTACAGCAGCCAGTGCTACTAAAAGCAATTTAGGTACAATTTAGTGCAACATTAATGCTTTTATCTTGCACATAGACATTTATCTCGTTTCCAGTTACAGTTTTATACGCTGGTTTATAAAAGGCAAGGCAAGAGAGCTGTAATAACACCAAAACAACCAAAAAAAAATTCCATATGCTGTGTTAAAGCCACAGTCCTGCAACCGACTTAAATAAACGTTTCCGGAAAGGATGGGAGTGTGCTGATAAACTATTTCCAGTCACAAGAAACGTTTAATATACTAGTATTAATCTGTAGTCATTTTGGAAAACATTCAGAGCCACTAAATCTAAAATACATGGCCCAAGAGTGACGTGAACCTGGTGACAGCCAGTGTGGCAGTCCTGCAGCACAGCTGTGAAACAGAACTCCACCCATGCAGCGCTATGACAGGACCCTAGAAAAAAAAAATCTCCCTTTTTGAACACTTACAAGCTCATCTCTCTCTGGAAATCATTCTCAGGATCAAGAGCATCTTTGTTAGAAGTACTCTGTATGGTGGGGTCCGGGACCTGGCCCAAAGTCACATCAAGCCTTTCCACCCAGGCGAGCTCCCGCCGGAATTCGGACAGGCACTGCTTCAGGCCCTCCTGCGAAAGAAGCACAGCTCTGCACAGCACCGCGCAGAACGCGGCCCGCTGAACGCCCAGGGCACACGGCGGGCTGCTCCTCCACGGCCAGCACAGCCGCGCGGGAACCCCAGCCCCGGAGCAAGACCGGCCCCGGGACGCGGGCCCCTG